GGAAGAATATTTCCTAATTTTTGGGTGCTATTCATAAAGTAGTGGCTATAGGCATGGCACTGAAATATAATCTCCATTAGTAACATGTTCATCATTTTCTTAAGCCTAGGCAATCAACAAAACCATACATCAAGCCCTGATCTTCAGTATTTGCTGATTTTCATGGTATAATACCCTTACTAAAGCTGTTGGAGGGGTTTTTTGTTTTTGTTTTTGTTTTTTTAAGACAGGTCTCACTCAGTTGCCCAGACTAGAGTACAGTGGCATCATTATACCTCACTGCAACCCCAAACTCCTGGGCTCAAGTGATCCTCCTGCCTCAGCCTCCTGAGTAGCTGGAACTATAGGCACAGGCCAACACACCCGGCTAATTTTTTTATTTTTTGTAGAGACAGGGTCTTGCCATGTTGCTCAAGCTTCAAGCTGGTTTTAAGCTGCCAACATTATATCACTGAATGTGGAGTTGGGAAGAGGTGAGCAGTTGCACACTCTTAAATAGTATTTCAAACATCCAGATACAATCAATGGGCATAAAAAACTTCAAGAGCATACTGCATAATAAAATGTAAAATAATTAGGAAGTTATGGATTTCAAGAATTTATTATCCTTATTTTTAGTGAACTGATTTTTTGTAAGTTTGTGTAATTTAATTTTTGATACTAGCTATGTTTAACCATCTCACAAAATTTCTGAAAATTTGTTAGCTCTTGTGAGTCAACTCCAGCACATCACTAGATTAAGAAGAGATCCCCTTCTTGCTATCCAAATCACATGCACATACACACTTGGACCTTTAAGACTTCAAAGGAAAAAACATCCTTCTCTGGAAAACTTTAGAGATCTTGTCCTTTGATCTTATATCCGGGGTTCCACAAAGCTTCAAAAGTGATATGTCAAGCCTCTAAGCTCCCTGGTCTGTGGGAGATGGGGTGTGGTGCTGGGAAATGCAGTCAGCTGCCAGCTCTTGCAAATGACTGGAGAAAAGTAGGGGCTTGACGACCGGCCACTAAGAGTGAGCCTGCACATACACGGCTGCATGAAGTAATGTGAGGTTCCATAATCAACAACTTGTACCTAACTTGTCAATTTGTTCTGTTGGTTGTTAGCAAGCAAAAATACTTCCTATAAGCGGCAAAGCAAAGGTGTTGCCTGGGACACTTCACAAATGATGAAGAAACCAAAGCAGAGCCAATTCGCCCCTGTCACTGACTCAGAAGTGGCCTTGGTCAATGCCTATCTTGAACAGAGACGAGCCAGGCGCCAGTCTCAGTTAAACCAGGTGAATCAGAATCCACAAGACAGTGATACCACTGAGTGCGACAGTGAAGAGTCTAACTCGGGAGCTTCCTCGTGGAAGGAGAGTGAAAGTGAACACCACCCATCACCAGACTGTATGAAGAGGAGAAAAACAGCTCAGAGGCAAAGGAATCTCGGAAATTACCAAATCAGAGAAAGGCCCTGCCTCCACTGCAAAGCCATGAGGACCAACGAATGGCTGACACGCCATTTCCTACAAACATCCCCAGTGAAGAGGGAGCTTCGAGAGGAAAACCCCATACCTGACATTAACACAAAATTCAGTAAATTTTGAATTTTATCAAGTCCTTACTGTACTTGAAGCCAAATGAAAGAGATGAATAAAACACGAAAAATCACCAGAGCTCTAGGTGAGGAGACTTTTATGATAAAGTCTTTCTACTAACAACAAAAACATACTTGGTACCCAAGAGGTCAAATTTCAGACAATTCGTTGCCCAAAAAATGGCCACGAAATTTGTATATGGCACCACTGGAACATTGAAGATCTGTATCCACTATGATTTTTTTTATTCAAAAGAGCACAAGACAGATATTTTATGCCTTGAGTGTATGTATTTTGTTTATATCTGTAATACAAATAAGAAGGCTCTTTGAAAATATATTATTTATGTTGAGAAACTATTTAAATTTATTCATATGTTTTGATTATCTGACTGAATGAACCAGGTGAAGTTGATTGGAATAGAATTACGCTATCCTCTCTAGGTTTATATTTTCAGGTGATGCTACCAGAACAGTATTGCCACATGTGTCAGCTAGGGGCTGGTGAGGAAGAGGAGCTCAAGAGCCTGGAATAAGACCTCATTCCTAGAGTAGGGAGGGGAGGCAGCAGTACCTTGAAGGGCAGCTGGGTTGTGGGCTGTCCATAGTTGTTCAAAGGTCATGGCAAATGTTAAAGAAAAAATTATTCTGACACTTGTTAACACAGCAAGGGAAGACTTTATTCAAGGCTATTGCAATAGAGGTCAACTCTATTGCAACAGGGAATATGAATCCAGCTCAACTCCAAATACAACAGGGGCAAGTGGGACTTTATAGCCAGGGAGCAGGATGAAGGTATCCGAGGATGGAAAATTACTAAAAGCAGGATTCTTGCTAAAACTGGGCCAAAGAAAGGACAAGGCCAGGGTAGGGGCCTAATTGAAAAGAGGGCTCAGGGAAGCCTGACTAAAGTTTGGTCAAAGAGAGAGTCTTTGTCAAGTTAACAAGTTAGCTTTGTCAAGTTAGCCAGAATCCAGGCATAATTGGGGCTGGGTTTTACAGGTAAGTAGGAACACTGGCTATGGGGAATTCAAGCAGGCCTAGGTAGATGGTCGGCCGTTCTGGAGATCATTCTCTTGTTGGATGGCAGTGTTACCGAAAGTTTGGCACTTGTCCTCGAGGCCACATCAGATGAATGAGAACAAGCAGTTTGAGAAGGAAAGAGGAGTTTATTAATTTGCTGGCAAATGAGGAGGATGGAGACTCCTGTCTGAAAAATACCAGTGTCCTACTAATAAGCAGAAATATAGAGCTTTTAAAGGGGTGCCACTTAGCTTCAGGCAATTGCTGTTCAATTGTAGTCCATCCCATTTCTGGGGAAGACAATTTCCTGAACTTTTCTGCCCAGACCTCTGGGACCTCCACCCACTTGGGAGGCCCACCTGGACCTCTAGAACCTCTGCCTGCCCACTCTGGGCGGGGTTGAGCCATCTCCTGTAGCACAAGAACAAAAGACATTACCCTGCCCCTCCCAACCACTGACCTGAGACAGAGACGCAGGTTCCCGTCCCCAGTAAAGAGTGGGGGATGTTTTAAAGAGATGGAAAATATTTTTGCTGTTTTTTTCCCCTCGAGCCATTCCCTCTGCTACATATTTCCCACTGTCAATATTACCCTTCCATATCTATGGGAGAAGGAGTGACTACTCTGTTACAACTGGGATGTAAACTCAAACTCCAGATTCCAAAGGAAAGGGATGGCAAGGACGAGATAAAGCAGCAGGGATCATGGTCACGGAGCTAGAGTTCAAAGAAGGGCTTAAGTCTTGGGGCAGGATTTGGGTACTATGTGTGGTTAAGACAACAACCTAATATTAAGGATGGAGCCTTTCATGGGAGATAGGAAGGGGATGGGAACAGAGACCAGAGGCCTGTGACTTTGGGCCAGGGTCATTCCTGCTAAGAGCAGATTCCTTAACTGATTGCAACTAAGAGACCTGGGAGCCCCAACCACTGGGACTAGGCCACTAGAGTCCAGGACATGTGGTAACATTTCTGAGCCTGTCTGTGGAGACTTTGTCTTATTCCGATTGCCTCAGGATTAGAATAGGTCTGAAAGCACAGGCGAAAAGCAGGACCACTTGAAGATTCAGCTCAGGCATCAAGCTTTCCCCAAAGACTTTTCCTCACTCCTAACAACCTCCTCCACTTTGTTTTCTCAGGCAGAGCTCACCTTCTCTCCTTTATGCTGCAGTGTACCCTGAAAAGTTCTCTGTCTCAGCACCTTTAACATTTTGATGAATGTATTTGTTTACAATTCTCTGTCCGCTGGATGTATTTATCCACCCTTAAAGGTAGAGCCCATGATTTGTCATCTTTGTGTCTCTGTAGCCTACCACATCGCCAGACAACATGACATAAATAATGCAGCTGAATCCACACACAAAGGGATTCATGAATGCAAAGGTGGGAGACAGCTGGGGAAGCAGGGAGAGGAATCAGGGCAGGGGCCAGTATCCACAACTTAGGAACAATTCTGATATTTCCAGCTTGATAGGATGAAGATGCTTAAATTATTCTGTTTATCCAAGTAGTACCCTCCTTCACAAAAAAACCAAAAAAAAAGAGCCAAGTTCAAAACAAAGTAGTAAATTGCAGGGGCAGGATTTAGAACCAATTCATCTGGCTTCAGAGTTTGGGCTCTTAATTGCTATGATCTTAATCATTCTGTTGTTGAAACTACAAGGGGGTTTCAGTCTGGGTACAGTTGCTGGGCACACAAAGATCCAAGGATTGCTGAGGAAGAAAGGAATTTTTTAATATAACAGACGTCTTATAGGGAGAACGGCAAATCCGTCTCTACCAATAACAGAGTTCAGGGGCTTTTAAAGGAGGGGCCATGTGCCTTTGGGTAGGTCCTGGAAACTAGCAAGGGGCTACATGCATTGGGGGCATGTTGTGGGGGATGGTGAGTCTTGGCATCAGGAAGTCTACCCAGGGGACTTCAGGATCTCAGTTCCTTTGGGAAATAACTCAAAAGTTCATGTAGTTAGTTAAGGGAGATGATTATTAAAAAAAGTAGGGGTCATTGAAATTTGTTTATGGGCCAGTTACAATTATTCTCTGCAGATAGAAGATACTAACTAAAAGGTAAGTTAATCATCACTTCCCACACAGGCATAAATGATGTCCAAGCAGATACAAACTCACCAGGGTCTATTGGAGAAGGACCATGGCTGTTTTCCAGATTATGGAGTAAGGCTCTAAATGTTTTGCTTGTAGATCTAGGATATAAACAAATGACACTATTACCCAAAGAGTCATTTATATCAAAGACTGCTACTTTTCCTGGTCTCAACCATGGAGATCAGAGTTTGGGATAGAACTCTGAGTATAGGAAGAAGAAATCAGGGTTGAGTATGGCGGGGATTATAAATCCTATAAATACGGAGAGATTAACTAGGATAATCTGTGAGAACATGAAACCAGAAACAAAGGCTGCATATAACCAGGAAGATATGCAAAACCAAGGACAGAACTGCACCAAATCAAAGGGATAAGGCAAGGGCATGGTAGGAGGAGGAGCAAAGCATGGCCAGGTGCGCTGGGACTGGATCAATGGGTGAGGTGGGAGATGGCTCATGAAACCAGGTCTGCAGGCACTAGTCACACTCGATGTTGCTTTTGTGCAGAGTCTGGTGGGGGCTCTTGGGGTGGGACCCCTGGATTGCAAAACAGTCCCCTCTCTCAGTTCTTCAGTTCCTCCTTGCTGGATGGGATAGACCAGGTCTTCTCTGTTTTTTTTTAGAGACAAGGTTTTGAGAGCACCCAGGCTAGAGTGCAGTGGCATGATTGCTCACTGTAACCTTGGATTCCTGGCCTCAAGGTAACCTCCTGCCTCAGTCTCCCAAGTAGCTGAGACTACAGGTACATGCCACCACGCCTGGCTAATTTTAAAATTTTTCAGGAGATGGGTTCTTGCTATGTTGCGCAGACTGGTCTTGAAATCCTGGGCTCAAGTGATCCTCCTGCCTCGGCCCCCCAAAATGCTGGTAACATTTAGAGAGTGCTTGCTACATGCCACACACGAGGCAAATATTTTATAAAGGTTATCCTTTACAAGCCTGCAAGATAGGTATTATCTCAATTTTATGGATGATGCAACTGAGGCTTGGGGAAATTAAATAACAAGCCCAAGATCATACAACTCAGGGAACTGGGCCTTGGGTCTCATCTGACCACAACGGGTTTTTTTTTGTTTTCGTTTTTTTTTTACCATGATAATACATAATCCACATTCTTAACAGAGAGCAATTAGATAAAAACTTGGGACACCAAATACCAAATACCAAACTCCTTCTTGAGAGACCAGAGAAGGACTGTTAACGAAAAACAGAGCCAAGAGTGAGAAGCCGAGCAGAGCTGGGAGCAGCGAGAAGAGAGCCAGAGAGGGTGCACGCACAGGGAGAGGCTTACAGTACCAGCCTGCCTGTACGTCAGGAGCTGAGCTTGGCTGGCTCAAGGAAAAAAGGGGCAAATGGAGACTGAGCTGGAAGGGTTGGTGAGGGTAGAAATGAACTTTGCACTGAGTGTCAAGAAATGAGAGACAGTAGGGACTAGAGCAGTAAGGTCCATGGATGGCCAAGGGTTTGAGAGAAGGAGAATGGGGAGGGGATCAGTTTCAGAAAGGGAAGGGGAAAGTGAGCATGCTCGTGTGAGTGGCTAACCCGCTGCAGCCCTGGGTAAGAAGGGTGGTGTGCAGGCACCAAGCTGAAGGCCATCAAGAACACCAGACAGCAGCGACAGCTCTTTCCCACTGCCACCCCTTTCTCTCATGAAGGAGTGCTATCTCCCGACATACTTACTCTCCAGGGGTTTTTTCTTTTCTCTCTCTCTCTCTTTTTTTTTTTTTTTGGTGAGACAGCATTTGCTCTGTGTCCCAGGCTGGAGTGCAGTAGTGCCATCATAGCTTGCTGCAACCTCCAACTGCCAGGCTCAAGTGATCCTCCCGCCTCAGCCTCCTGAGTAGCTAGGATTCCAGGCACACACCATCACGCTCAGCTAATTTTAA